AAAAGTACAGGCCTTCTGTGTTGTTATATGTTTGTGTGTGTTATATGTTTTGTGTATGTTATATGTTTGTGTGTCATGTCAAAGTACACCACGCTGACCTTAACAAACTCTGGACCAATACTAACGTGGGGATCGGCCTGTGATGTGACTGTGATATGAGTGTGATGTGTGAAATAAGGAGTGAAATGAGGAGTGCTGAACGGAGAATGGAATAACAAATGTGTCTGTAATGTTTTAATGTGATCATGGAATAATTCTTTTTTGTCAACAGCATACGGTGTAAGTACTAGAGATTCAAAGATAACGACCTTTATTAAACAGGTGTAAAAGTGAGAGTACTCTGGGATGAGTACTCTGAGAAAAGTACTCTGCGGAAAGTACTCGGAGATGAAATACCTCGCTGAAGATATTGGGAGTTCCTCCCTCTGCTGTTTGCCCTGACAGTGATTCGGTCCAACCGCAGTGAGCGGTCATTGGGCGGAGGACAACTTTGGTTTGTAAACTCACATTTAGGGGAGTATAAAATTAGAAACATACATTTTGTTGTTCTGTATTTGGCTACAGCCTCCGCCCTGATGCCACACACCACCTGTCAATGCAGTTATGTTTTGCCCAATTGGGAAAAAGATTGACAAGCGAAAGTGGGCATTTTTTGTGTTTTTTTTTTGTGTTCTGATATTTCTTTTTCAGATGAGAGATAAACTACCCCTGCTCCAGGGATGACAGTAGTGTGGATCAGGAGGAAATGAGCCTCTACCTTGGCACAAAAAGCCCACAATATGAATTGAGGACGATCCGGGAGAAAAGCAACTGGAGATGAACGGAACAGTCGGTACTTTTGCAGCCTCACTGAGGGCCACTGAGACCCACTGCTTACTTCTCAGCAAAACTCGATCCCGTGGCAGCAGGGTTGCCTCGCTGCCTGCGGGCTGTGGCTGCCGCTGAGAAAGCGGCCCTAGCATCACGTGACCTTGTGGGATACACTGAACTAACTTTGCTTGTGCCCCATGCTGTTTCCCTGATCCTGTTAGAGCAGAGGGCCTCTCGCCTTTCTGCGGCTCGTTGGCTGGGGTACAACACGGTGCTCTTTGAACTACGGTGAAGGAATGCACACAGCTGAACTCCTCCTCGCTGCTGCCCACGCCAGAGGAAGGGGAGGAACACTGCTGTATCGCCACAATAGAACAGATATGCACTCCCAGGCCAGACCTGAAAGAGGTGCCTCTGACTAATCCTGACTTGATTTTTTTTATATACAGACGGAGCCGCGTCACGTGACAACACTGGGAAGAACCGAGTCGGCTATGCTGTGTGTTCTGATTTTGATACTATAGACTCTGGTAGTTTGCCCCACTACCACTCAGCACAAACCGCTGAGCTGGTCGCGCCCACCGGGGCTTGTGAGGCTGGCAGCGGGCAAAACTGTTAACCTATTCTGTGATACGCGCTATGGTTTCTCTGTGGTGCACGACTGGAAAGCACTGTGGAAACACCGCAATTTTATGAAATCTGATGGTAAACCAATTCTTAATTCCACACAGGTTGAACGTCTGCTGAAAGCTGTAATGTTGCCCTTAGAGATCGCTGTATGCAAATGCCAGGCCCACACTAATGCCACTGATCCCATCTCTGCAGGGAATCGGCGCGCGGACAAGGCAGCGGCATACGCACCTTTACACACACACACACACACTACCTCACTCAAGACGTTGATATTTTCTACTCCAGCAGAGACGCTGCTGTGGGAGGGGAATGGGGCTCAACGACGGCATGGTGTGTGTGGCTGGGACCAGACAGCAAACCGTGCCTACCACGGCATTTCTTCAGACAGTTTGCAATTTTAGCACATGGTCGAGACCATGCCTCAAAAGGAGGGATGATGTGTGATTTAATCACACAAAATTGGTATACAAAGGGGTTTACGGCATTTGCACAGAGATTCAGCCAAACATGCGCTATATGCCCCGCGCACAACCCAGGTAAGTCCCAAAAGTATCCAACAGGCTGCTCATCCTCCGCCCCTGCGCCCATTTCAACATGTCCAAAGGGACTTTGTTGAACTCACACCATGCCAAGGTAAGTAATACTGTCTGGGTCTGGCGGATCTCTGGTCCAAATGGACTGAAGTATTTGCAGGCATACACGCCACGAGCAACGCGGTGGTGAGTGAGTCACTTTGTAGCAAAAGTCATTGAGGAAGTGGGTGAATTTCTGGGGCATTGATATACGTAAACACTGCAGTTACGCCCCCTGGTCCGGAGGCACGTGCGAGCGAGAGAATGGCACTCAAAGCTCTGCCGCTAGCCCCACGTTGGGCGCGGGACCCCCGAACAGAGATCTGCCAAGCACCTCTTTGTGTGATGACGACATGCTGTCCTATTGTAAGGAAATTAATGCACTTTTGTCCTCTATTTCTGCCCAGGTCAGGAGCGCCCTGCCACAGGCTGCGCAGGCGACTGGGTCCTGATGAAGGAAACGAGACGAAAGCATGGCGGTCCAAGCGCTGGCTCGGCCCATTCCTCGCCCTCCTGGTGACGGACACTGCCGTTAAGGTCGCGGAGAGGACAACTTGGATCCACGCCAACCACTGTCGTGCGGGGCTGCCACTGAGGGCCATAGACGAGGACACCGAGGGCGCGGACGGACCAGGCCCATCCGCGGCTCCCTACGCTGAAGAAGTTGGCCGGCGCGCGGCCACCGTCGGTGAAGCAGGCCAACAACAACACCCAGAGAATCCCAGCGTTCCCGAGGCGACCCCCCTTCTGCCCAACTCCCCAGCCCCCGGACCCCAAGGCCTGGGAGCCATGAAGGCCCTGAGCGCTCTGCTCAGCTGCAGCAAGTATGCAGAGCTGCTGCCCATTCCAAAGATTTCTCCAGAGCTTGTTCCCTCTGGCCATAATGCAGATTTGAGCTCTGCTGGAGTGCCCCCCTGGTGTCTCGTCTCCCGTGTGTCCGGAGGAGGTGGAGATGAGGGCTGCTCTACAGTTCCTGATGAGGCACATGGTGAAGCGTGCTGTCATGAGGTCTCCCATCAAATGAGCTTTGGGCCTGGCCGATCTGGAGCGTGCTCAAGCCATGGTCTCCACACCCCAAACCCCGAGCACTCTGCCCAACCGAGTGCTGAGGCCAAGGCTTCAACGCAATTAGAGTCTTGCCGCTCCAAGACCAAACATCGCCATGACCACTAACGCTCCACACACGCTCATAGGGAGCGGTGCCACTGACTGCGAGACGGCACTGCTCGTGAGTATTCCCGCGGAAAAGACTACCGAACGTAGACCGGCATGGGCCCTTGGACTGTTATGCTGGCCACACTGACACTACTTTCCGTGCTGACCGTGTTTATTATGTTAATATTGCCTTCTCTTATCGCTGTCCGGATCCATTGTGTTATTATAATGTGCTCTTTCTTTTATTGACAAGCATGTGTCTTTTCTTGTCCACTTTGGACAGCAATAATTTAAGTGTTTCAAGCTTGAAGGTGGTGTGATTACGATGCCTCTGGTATTTAACTGATTAATGCAAAAATGGTTTTGAATTATCAAAAGAGGGGAGTGTGGTGACAGTTTTTGGAGTAATTACATTAAAACCAGCCGCAGCAAATACACGGACGTCAAAGGCCTTTTATCAATGCAGACGACCTTCTGACGCCATGCTGAGCTTTGTGAAGGTCCCTGCTGTCTGTCACACCCTTGTGTCTTTCCGTCTTGCATCTGTATGACCTGCATTTCCACCATTGTCTGTCTGTTCACACCCCATGCCACTGCCACCACAGGGGATAGCGCCGGCGCTTCCTGTGCGCCTCCTCACCGGTGGCCCCCTCCGCTCCGTTGTGGGCGTGACTATCTTTGGTGTGTGTCTTGTATACAGGAAGCTCGGGGCTCTGGCCCCCAGAGCTAGGACATGCTGCTTTTGGAGTGTATGTGCTGGCTCTCCGCACTGTGCGTTAACAATAAACTTACGCTTTTGATCAGACAAAGGACCTTTGAGTTTTCTCCTTCATGGGGTATATAATTCTATAACAGTCCTGTACCATTTGTCTCTCTGAAAACAAAGGACAGAGAAGTGTTGTAGACGCAGTGGTCACTTTGCTTTTTTTGCCTGGACGGGAGGGCAGGGGTTTACATCAGTGTTTCCCAACCAGGGGCCCGCGGGCACTTGGCGTATTACAGGGGGTACTCGAAATGATTTTCAACATGCAAACATTGAAGAGGTTACTAAGGGCTATAGTGGCCTGTTACACATTTCAAAGCTACATCAAGAATTACATTATAAACATTGAACCTAAGATAAACTTTAGAGATCTCACGATGGAGACATTTACAAGGTTCACTGTACCTTGTAAATGTCTCCATCGTGAGATCTCTAAAGTTTATCTTATCTTAGAACACAATTCAGAATAATCATAAGTTTGCTTTATAATAATAATTGGACAATCAGTGTGCAGCAACAAGCTTTTCTTACTTTTAGCTTTTGTTTCAGTCAAGTATGAACTCATTTTGTTCAGAAAGGTGTAAAAACTCGACATAATAACAAACGTACTTAAAGAAATAATCAAAAGTTACAAAGTTATAGAGTTATAAACAAAACAAATCGATGGAGACCTTGGTATAACAGTAAACAAATGAAAATAGAATATGAAACACCTTCCTTCCTAACAACAGGGGGTTCTCGTGCCCCGTCTACTCTGGTGAGGGGGTAACCCGGGAAACAGCATCACTTAACTGCCCAATTCTATTCTCTTCTGCTTAGCGTGGTTGGGTTTCCATAGCAAATTAGATTATAATACCAGATCTTTTAGGACCCTCCCACAACAAACCATTCTGACATATTCATGGTTCACTGACAGAACTTGGTACCTGTTAAACAAGTTTCCAAACTGATGTAGAGTGAAGTTTAGTCCTGGGTCTAGTCCTATGTCAGTTGCTCATTGACTGACTCAGGACCTCATCTTATTGGCCCTAGTTCAATCTCTTCTTCTTCTCTCCTTAAGCTCAGTTTTATTTGAGTTTCTCCATCTGCATCTTGAGCATTTGGATCTCCAGGTTTAGCTTTTCCCTCTCCAGAAGCAGGTTTTCTTTCTGCAGAGCCAGGACCTCTTCGCCCACTGTCACCGTGGAGGGAGCGGGCACTAGAGCACGCTGCAGCTGGTCCTCATCCAACCCCCCTGAAACAACATGGACCCACGGCTTTGAGAGAAGTTACCGTAACGTCCGAAGACTGTATAATAAAGGTATGGACGGAGCTAAACTGCTAGCTTGATGACGCCCAATAGAGAAGAGTGCATTAGTGACGTTTTGATCCAACTCACTTTGGCTTCCTTTCACTTTAGTTAAACACAGACACAGACAATGAAAATCTCTAAACTTTCAAGAGGCAGTCATAGCAAATGCTTTTACATCAGCGAGGTGTGACGTACCGCACTGCACACAACAAACTATTACTCTTAACAATTTGGGTTTTAACACTCTATAGCAGGGGTCTCCAACATGTAGCTCGCCACCCCCTTCCAGGTAGCTCGCCAAAGGATTTAGAAATGAACAAATCAAATATTATACAGATTGCATTTTTAATTATCCTTATTTATTTTTGTAAATGCACTTACTTTGTGCACTAGTAACAAATATGAAATGATAAATAATGACTGGAATCAGGCTCGTTCACACCGATATATCACCACATTTTTCCCGGGGTTAGCTTAAAGAAGTAGCTAGCTGCCTTTATCGTCTCCGGATAGTAGCTCTCCTGGTAATAAAGGCTGGAGACACCTGCTCATTAGGTTTTCAAGTTGATATTGTCTTTATGAAACTAGATAACCAATCAAATCATCTGCCTTTAATCCCCAATCCTTTGCCTAGACTGGCTCATGATTGGTTCTTTTGGTTGCCGAGGAATTTTGGCCCCAATTTCGCACTGATGTTCTCTGGAATACCTAAAATCGGCTTCTTGCGTTGAAAGCCAAACGTTTTTTAAAGATTGTATTATTATTCTAGATGTATGTATATTGTGCGTCTTAAATACACTGGAATAGAACGATCCAGAACGATCTACGGAAGAGGGAAAAGTGCATAAAAATTGTCGATCCAAACCTTACCATCCTCGTCATCTGGGACCTTGGATTTGAGTGTGACCTCGACTGGATAATGATCGCTCACGTCCAACGCCTGCAAAACACACGCACACACGCGCACACGCACACACACAGGCACACACACACACACACACACACACACACACACACACACACACACACACACACGCACACGCACACGCACACGCACACGTTTAACCATGACAAAAGTTTTCAATTCTAGAATGAGCTTGAGCAGCGAGTACCAGTTCGTCGGAGAGTCCGTAAGCTCTCTGAAAGTTGAATGGTTTTGCCGATCCAGGAACAACAGCTTCCAACATGTCATTGCCATAAATTACAATTCTGGGGGGGGGGGAGGAATAAAAAAATCAAATGAGATCTTTTGGTCGAGGTGAGGTTCTATCTAGAGTGAGTCCAGTCCTGGTTGGGTCTGGTTTACCTGTCGTAGGTGTTGCTGTTCTTCTTGCTGGCTGTGGTGTCTTGGTCGTCTGAGATTAACCAGTGGAAGTTCTTGTCGCTGCGGATACGAATCGTCTTCATCTCTTTCTTAGACACGTACGAACCGTCTGCGTTAAAGTCTCCAAGGATCATCACGTTCTGGAGGAAAGAAAAGTGCTTCTGTTAAGTCCTGGTTCAGACCTGGTTCAGACCTGCTATCATCATCATCAAGCTTTTATTACAGAGCTCTTGGTCCAGGAAAGACAAACATATCACATAAAAACACTAAAACACAAATTCTATCATTAGGTGTTTGCATAAAAGGCTTTTTGTATCATGTGCTAGCCTGAGTTCAGCGAGTTCAGTGAAAATTCAAGGACAGGTTGGTTTCTGTGATTTCCAGAGGGGGAGTTTTCCCTTATCCCACCGGACTGGAGATGAGACCAGACTAGATTGGACCCAGACCAGGCTCCGGTTTTACCTCAAATGGAGCAAAAATGACGTCTTCGGAGGCACTTCCTCTTCTTCTACACATTTTCATAAAACTGTTTTGTACAACATTGTTAGTTAGTCTGAGCCAGGGACAGAGACAGGACTTTTCAGAGTTGCTGGTTGTCTTCTCATTCCATTTTCAGGCTTGGAGGGACAGTTAATTTGGCCCAGCTCATAGGGTTAGTTAGAGCTCAGAGAAACTTGTATTAGTATTTAATTGTAAAGAGAATTAAATATTGTTTATTTGAACTCTTAATATTTAGGTCTTCTTTTCTGGTCAAATTCTGAATCACGTCCTCAAAACTGTCATCCATAGAATAGGCTTCGCTCATGTCCGAGAATTCTATCTCAGTTGCTAATACAAGGTTTTCCCAAATCATTAAATGATAATGTTTAAATTCAAAATATGTTACGTTAGAAAGTCACTTCTACCACATCTTTAAGAGAAAATAAGGAAGCCGTAGACTTTATTCATTGACAAAGAAGTTTTGGAACTTTGTGACCGTATTTGCGGATGTGGATTGTTCCCAGAATTAGAGACATTTGTTATAAACTAAGACCAGAAATCTGAAAATTTTCTACAATGTTGAACTATAGGCTCTTTGTAATGCTGTGATATCACACGACGCAACCAATTAGCACAACATTACTTTCACTGTAGTTTAAGGGCTGACTTTAAGGGCTGACTAAGGCTAGCAAAGATGAATTTAATTTGGAAACTTAAACAGTGAGACGTCTGTAGGTCGTTTTTTGGCTGGCTTGAATTACACCTATATTCTTTTGCTGAGAAGTTAACATGGATTTTAAAAAGGTGCTTCTTTCATTTGGTTTGTGTATCTGTGTACTTTAGCACCTACATCCGTTTTCCACTTTTTCTTTATGTCCATGAAGACGTCGTAGAGTTTGTCCAGTTCGACGTCAGAATCCTCTGGAGTGGTGTGGACCGGGATCAGCACCAGGTCCTGCAGCTCTGAAACACACAATACAATAAAAATCATTATCATTACTATTATTATTGATGTGAAATACAAATTCTGTGCTGCATTTACCGGTCGTATGACATTTGAACCTCAGGATGTACGGATCTCGGGAAAAGACGTCTTGGTTCAACGTCTTTGAGTCCTCGAACTGATAAGAGTCCATTAAATTCACCAAGTCATCCCTAAAAAAACAACAATCTCATTAAAGACCGTGGAACCATATTTATTTGTCATGTATTGTTAGGCCTATGTTGTAAAAGAAGAAATGCAGTAGGTCTCTGTCTGTGTAGCATAATAATAAACATAAACTTTAATGCTTTTACAAAAGAGTTGACGTGGTTTAAATCATGTATATCGACTAACTATTGAGCCAAATGCAGAAGAAGTTGATCTGAAACAAGCTGCAGCCTATTTCCTTATATGGGCATTTGTTAAGACAGGGGTTAGCTTCCTGCCAAAACAGAGGCAGAGGTGTTGCTAAGATGGTTGCTATGGCAAGCTGGTTTTTTCGCCACAAATGAAGGCATCTGATTCGTCCATCCTTATGGCTCATATCTAACAAGACAATCTCAAAATAAATAAGACCCAAACCCATAGAAAGCGCTAAACCATACATTTTTTTAGGCCCAAAAGAGTTCGCCAAACTGGAGGCACATACCAGATCTATTGTACATGTTTTTAGTGGTAGGGCAAACCCAAGCACCCAGAGGAGACCTACGCAAACACAGGGAGAACATGCAAAAGCCGCTCAGAAAGGTCTTGTTCTGACCGGGATTCGAACCACGAACCTTCTTGCTGAGAAACGACAGTGCTATCCACTCAGCCCAAGTGCCACCCAAACTATATACTGATTTTGAAGCATTTACAGCTAAGAAACATAGCAGAACTTATATTGTATATTTTGTGTGTTCCCTGTGTTCTCTTACTTCCTGTATGTGCGCTGCAACATTGACATTTCCCCACTGTCTTATCTTAGAAGCCAGAGCAGGCCAGTAAGTAAGTGTTTATTTATATAGCGCATTTTATACACCAAGGTCACCCAAAGCGCTGTACTACTTGTTCCAATCATTCCACACACGCTGATGACGGAAAGTAGGAGCAAACCTTCGTCCATGAGCACTTCCCGAATGGGCTTCATTGAGCTGTGTGGTTAGCATGGTCCATCTATACTCAGTGTATGGCTGGGACCCACACAGACGCCCATAGAGGTCTCATATAAACCAATAAATCCGATTATTTGAACCATAACAGTGTGAAAGGTGACCTGTAGAGGAACATGAACTGCTCCTTGTAGCGGGACCGTCCCAGTCGGCTGCTGATCTGGAGGGTGTAGTGATGCTTCCTGTTTGCCCTGGAGACAACAATATTATTTACATTGACGATTACAATTCCATGATTTGTTTTGTTTTTGGGAGTGAATGGGACTGACTTGTTGATGGCCTCGAGCAGAGTTTTGATGGAGGTCCCACTGATGTCCACCACCTCCAGGATCAGGATGATGTCGTAACGTGAGACAATCTGGAATGTTTTAATCTGATGTAAACGTTTCCCACGAACTGCTCAGTCTCTTTTATTTAAAGCTCGGGTCTCTAACTTCTCTGTTTCCATAGTAACAGGTCGTTGGTTTGACAGAAAAGGTCTCGGAAAAGTTAAATGTTTTGAACAACAACACATTGTCTTCGTCTTATCAGAAAACATATCAGAACTTTAGTGTGAGATAGAGGGAGACCAGTCGGAGACCAGAAAGAGACCAGAGAGAGTCCAGAGAGAGACCAGAAGGAGACCAGAGAGAGACCAGCAAGAGACCAGCGAGAGACCAGAGAGAGACCAGAGAGTGTTTATTTGTGTGTGTATGCTGGAGTACCTAACTTTTAGTTTCATAACTAAATACATTTTGTTTGTCCCAACAGAAAGACTCTTGTTTAAGTAACAATCTGTGAAAACCTCAGACCACGTTATACTGTATTTATCTGAGAAAACATGTGTCATTTACCTGCTGAGAGCTGATTGGCCGAAGTCCTTTCTCTGATTTAAAGACGTGACAAAGGCCACAAACACATGACTATGTAAACCAGGGATGGAATCAAACAGTGTTCAGGTAAAAAAAATCATTTATTCATCCCAGAGTGGGAAAGTTTCAGCTTTAAGCGCATACAGTGAGATTTTACAAAATAAGATGCAAAACTTTGATAAAAAAATATTATTATCATTCAGATAATAATAATAATAATAATAAATTGTATTTATAATGCACTTTACATTTCAGGGAAACCTCAGATAAAGTTTCAAATGAAATAGCTCCATGTCCCACACACCTCAACTTGAGAAACACCCGTGCACATACAGTACCCACTCACTGTATGTGCTGCTCTAGAACAGTGGCGCCCTCTTGTGGCACAGTTTCCCTGAACTAAATGGTTCTAATTTTACCTTTGCCAGGATCCCCATGACGGTTGGATCGGACGCTTTGTTACGACCAAACTTCTGAATGTTGAACGAAGCGATTTTCATTTTTGCTGCAACCCAGAAAAGAAAGTAAAGGAATTTGTCAGCACTGATACAGTAAAGTATTTTAAATGTTTTGTACTTGTAATGATACTTTGAGATACAAAATGTGAATCAAGTCTGAGATTGCCTCATGCGTTTATCTATGATCAGCACTGTCCTCGTCCAGCCTGTTTGTTTGGGCAGACGGCCGTGTGTTGGTACATTTGCAGTTGTGCCATACTCTGTCCATTACCGGATGATGGATTGTAAAAAAAAAACAAATAAACTTCTTGCTTGTTTTTGCTGAAGTTGTGCCTTTTTTCTGGTCTGTCTATGCATGTGGTGGGCAAAGCTCGGTCCGTGGGCCAGATGCGGCCCTTTAGATGTTTCTATCAGGCCCCTGTGCCCTCCTCAGTTCATATAGATATAGTATGAAGACCATAAAAGCATTTTCACAAAAATTAAGCTTGAGAAAATTGAAAAATAAGGCCCAGCTCGAACAAACGGATGATATTTAATGTGGCCCATAGGAGGAAAATTTTATCCGTCACAAATGAAATGAAAGAATCCTCATAAAACCATAATTTTTGATTCATTTTCTCGTACACGTGTTTGAAGAAGGATTACACAACCTCTTTAAGTCGATGCAGCTGCTGTGGTTGTTTTGTTCCGCCTCTAAAGTGACATGTTTTTGCTGCTAAAATATATGATGGACAAGTTTAAACAGCCCCTCAGGCTTCGACTGCAACCACACATAAAAGGCTCCACACGGATCCGATGTGAGCTGTAATTACAGAGCACGGCCTTCCCCAGCGACAAACCCCTCGACAATGCAGTTTGTCCGTCTGCATCTGACTGAAGAATGCAGAACTAAAGGCTCCAGTGAGGTTTGCATTAACGGTCATAGACTTCGCAGAGGCGGAGACAAGACACAGGTTTAACTCCAGGATAAAGAACTTTTATGGCAAGGAAGTAAAACAGAGAATATAGAGTGACAATGAATGGTGTTGGTTTTTCTCTCTCTTATAAATGGATTGATTCAATTAATGTCATTATTTTTACTTTGATTAAACAAACAGTCTCTTACACGGTTTAATCAATGTAAATAAAGGTCAGTAAATGAGGAAATAGTCAGTTGAAGAGAGATATGTTTAATTATTATTCTGTATATATCCATTTTAAGTATCCGTAGACCTATTCTGAAACTAAACACATTTGATTAGATTATAAAGACATTATTAGCAGTTGGTGATTATTCAGCCTTTGCTCGTAAATCAAAGATCAAGTGTTCACATTCATTTACTAATCTAAAACTTCATCACTGCACTTATGTTTGTAGTGAGTGAAAATCATTATTATTAACTATTCACATAAACACACTATGCCAGAGACGGGAAATCAGCAGACACATGTTGGAGCCAATACAATAAAACTTAGATACTGTCCATAAATACACACACACACACTCACGCACACACACACACACTCACGCATACACACACACACACTCACGCATACACACACACACACACTCACGCATACACACACACACACACTCACGCATAATTTCTCCACTGTGAGACTAATAAAGCTTTATCTCATCTTATCTTATACACACACACACACACATGCATACACACTCACACATAAACACAGACTCACGCATACACAAACACACGCATATAAACACGCTCTCATACGAATACACACACATTAACACACACTCACAAGCATACACACAGACGCAAAGACACACAAAAGCATACACACATACACACACACACACAAAAGCATACACATACGTATTCACACAAATACACACACACACACATCATTTATCATATACTCATTACATATGTGTGCAAGCATGTTTGAGGCTCTGGATCGCCGGATGCAACCTTTTAGTTCCAGTTCCTGTCAATATCCAACAACATGACACAGCTGTTGGAGAGGAGTGGGTCAACATTCCACAATCATCAACAAGAACGACTGTGCACAAAGCAGACTGTGGTCAGACCAGAAACTGATCCCCAACCCCCAACAGGCAAAACTGAACACAGTGAGAGTTGGAATGGATCGTCTCAGCAAAGAAGAAGTGCTCACTGAAACATATTTAGACATTAGAAAACGCTAAACTTTAGAGATATTTAGATTTTTATTTTTATATCTTATTCTTTCTCTACTTTTGACTTGAATGCACCGAGAGCCAAAGCCAATTCTGTGACTTCCTGTTACTTACACGGCAATAAACATGATTCTGATATGTTGTTTTGTGTTCTGTTGTTGTCTTTAAATTGGACATAGAGTCTGTAATACAGTTAAATTGTAATTGAACTGAATGTTTTATAAAGATGGATCAATTGCGCAGGTATAGAGATTATTATAGCTTTCATTTTGATCTAATAAAAATGGGAGACAACCATGTATAATTCGGGGTCAGTGGATAATCGCAGGGTGTGCAGGTGTATTGCAGACCAGCCTTAAGCCAAACTTTGTCTCTGCTACAACATTTCCGAGGAACTGCTGCTGCTGTTTGTGTTACTATAGTTATTATAATGGTTAATACAGTATACAGTAAACACTTTTCATACTTTACATTTCAGAACAGAACCCACCATGCAGACGTCCAAAAGATGAAATACAGAGACGCAACAATAACATCACATAGACTTCTCATTGTTATTAAGAGATCGCACCCACCTGTTGTGAAGGAGCAAGTCCAGATACAGGTCCAGATACAGGTCTAGGTACAAGTCCAGATACAGGTCCAGATACAGGTCTAGGTACAAGTCCAGATACAGGTCCAGATACAGGTCTAGGTACAAGTCCAGATACAGGTCCTGGTTTAGATCCAGGTGCATAGGTCTGGGCTCTTTGCTGTGTCTGCTGTATCGTGTAACTTAAGCCAGACTTCTACATGTACTGCCTGATGTCCTCTGTCCAAACCTACGCCCATCAGAGCAGAAGCAGCCAATCAGAGGCCGGACCTGAGAACAACAACAGGGCCTGGAGAGGGCTGTTTTTTTTTTTAATGCCTCCAGGAAACATTATTTTTATGTGTTTGTTTAGTGCCGCAGAGAATACCACTGACACTAGCACGATTTATACACAATGAGTAATAACTATACAGTGGAAATGAATGTGGAAAGAGAAAGAGAATGGTTAAATATAAGTTATTAACCGCCCATAATGAAATCAAAGGCACAAAACCACTGTAATTATTAGACTTTGGAATGCTCTTTGTTTATGGTGGCAACAAAAGGCTGTGGATTTTAACTGCTGATTTTATTACAGCTTCATCTATGACTTATTATGAAAGTGAAACTAAAGTGGAAATCATTAACTTTGACTTAGTCTCAAACCCGTAAAGAGAATATTGGTTCAAAAGTAAAAGTTTTTAACACTTTTATTCACTTACACCAGGACTGCCCCTTCCTCTGTTCATGCTGCTGTTGACTTGAGTCCCATTGAGATTAAGAGCCTGGACAAGACAGTATGTTAACATGTTTTATAACTGCCTTATCTGTTTTTAAATGTATTCTTATGTGAGGCCTTGAATGTCTAGAAAGGTGACTAAGAAATAAAATGTATTATTATTATCATTATTTTTATTATTATGATTCAAAACACGTCAATTAAGTCTGTAAAGTATGCGAAGATGTTTATTCCAATGTTTTTTTTTTTTTTTCATTATTGTAGATTTAGTGAGAAATGCAAAAATCTCTATAAGTGCTTCATAAGATGTGAAAAGGACTGAACTACAGAAAGTCACTGGAGACGGTTCACACAAATGAGTCCGGAGCGAGTCCAGACTTGATCCGCGGGGCCCTGCAGGTGGTGGGGACAGAACATGAGAACTCAGAGTTTTACGATCAAGAACTTTGAATCGTAAACAAGAAAAGAAAAAAAAGTAATGTCACAAATTTTACAAATCATTCATGAAATTATGGATATGTTCTACGGTTTTGTTTTGTTTGTTATGTTAAAACTGAGCTGGGGTTTACTCAATGTTTTGGCTGAAGCTATAGGAAAAAGTCTCATTTGTAGTTGGTGCCACATCTGTCAGACCTGTGAAGCTACCCAGGACAGAGCCTGGGTAGTGCTGTGATGGGAGACCTCTGGGAATACCAGGTGCTACAGTGAGGCGGCTGTGGTTGTAAATTGCCCAACTGTTGTGTGTCTTTAGGCAAGACTTTACCCACATCACCTAAAATGAGTCTGATGTGTGTGACTGATGAACCTTTGCATTATTATCACAGTATTATTATTATTATAGGGGAGCTATGAGTTGAGTTTGGTGGGACATCAGTAGTTTTCACAAGAGCCATTAAACATTGATTTACAGATAGAGAGGGGAGGGAGGGGCCGAGACAGGAAGTGGTTAAACTGGAATGAAACTCATGACAACTATAGTTTCAGTTTGTGCAGGTTTTCTGTGGTTAAACATGAACTGAAAGACAATACAAGCCTTTTATACTTTTAAAGCTGAAAACACAATTTATGAGTGACACATTAGTCTCAAGAAGCACCTTTTGACATAAAACTAGTGTGAAAGTGTATGTATTTGGACGTTCATGTCCACAAACCTCAGGCCTCAGTTGGTTCTATGGAAATGCTGTTCCTTTTGCTGATGTCTCCCACATTAGAGAAAGGATAATATTTATTTGTATGGAACATGCCATACAAAGCTGTGGTAAAAGAGACATGAAAAACCATAGAAACTTGGATAGAGGCACATTCAAAGTTTAATGGAAAGAGATTCTAACAAACTAGTCTTTGTTTTGCCCTGAATCAGCCCAATAAGTAATAAAAGTCCTGTATCAAAGTGTATTTCTAACTCTACATTCATTGCGCAGGTGAAGCTCCATCTCCAGAAAGTTACTACACAAATTAGAACCATTTAGTTCAGGGAAACTGTGCCACAAGAGGGCGCCACTGTTCTAGAGCAGCACATACAGTGAGTGGGTACTGTATATGCACGGGTGTTTCTCAAGTTGTGGTGTGTGGGACATAGAGCTATTTCATTTGAAACTTTATCTGAATCAAGTCTGAAGTTAGTGCTTGAAATTAATGAGGCAATTTTGAGCCATGCTCCAACAAAAAAATTTATCAAAGTTTTGCATCTTATTTTGTAAAATCTCACTGTATGCGCTTAAAGCTGAAACTTTCCCACTCTGGGATGAATAAATCATTTTTTTTACCTGAACACTGTTTGATTCCATCCCTGGTTTTCATAGTCATGTGTTTGTGGCCTTTGTCACGTCTTTAAATCAGAGAAAAGACTTCGGCCAATCAGCTCTCAGCAGGTCAATGACACATGTTTTCTCAGATAAATACAATATAACGTGGTCTCACAGATTGTTACTTAAACAAGAGTCTTTCTGTTGGGACAAACAAAATGTATTTATTTATGAAACTAAAAGTTAGGTACTCCAGCATATACACACACATAAATACACACACAAATAAACACTCTCGCTGGTCTCTTGCTGGTCTCTCTCTGGTCTCTCGCCGGTCTCTCTCTGGTCTCTCGCTGGTCTCTCTCTGGTCTCTCGCTGGTCTCTCTCTGGTCTCCTTCTGGTCTCTCTCTGGACTCTCTCTGGTCTCCTTCTGGGCTCTCTCTGGACTCTCTCTGGTCTCTTTCTAGTCTCCGACTGGTCTCCCTCTGTCTCACACTAAAGTTCTGATATGTTTTCTGATAAGACGAAGACAATGTGTTGTTGTTCAAAACATTTAACTTTTCCGAGACCTTTTCTCAGGTTCAAGAGACGGTGATCAGTGAGACCAGACCCAGACCAGACCTAGTCCTGGTTTAGTCCTGGTTCAGACCTGGTTCAGACCTGGTTCAGACCTACTTCAGACCTGGTTCAGACCTGGTTCAGACCTGGTCCAGACCATGGCCATCAGAGTCTTGCTTCTGTCCCTTTGCTGTTTGGGTAAGTGTTAGATGTTTTTCAGACTTTGTTTCAAACGTAAGATTTTTCAAACACATTTGTGTAAAAATATAAAAAGTTCATTTGTAAAAACAGAGAAATGCAAAGAAACATATTTGAAAGACTCACTTTTTACTCTTTAGCACACATGTGTCAAAGTCAAGGCCCGCGGGCCAAATCCGGCCCGCGAATGAATTATCTATGGCCCCCGGGACATTGCCTGCCATTAAGCTCGCTAGCCCCCGCCGGCGGGAGCAAACGAGGAAAAAATACATCTGCTGGCAATAGCAGATGTAAAGTATTTTGAACTTCATAAGCCACAAACTATATATCATTTTAAAGCTTATTTTCTCAGCTATATTTATATGTAAGTGTAAACGATATCAGACATTGCATTAAAAAGATATAACGCATAATATGAGCACAAAATAAATCACGTCTGTATTCGTTTTTTACCTTTCGTCTTCTGCTGCTCCAACAAATTAGACTTTCCCCATCCTTGCTTAGTCTCTTTCTCTCCATAACTGTTCATTGAAGAAGAATATCCACTTGTATTTCCCAAAGTATAATCCATTCTGCAGATTTAATCAAAAAACGCCCCGAAAAGAGATCCAGACTGCTCTTTTACATTTCACCAAGTTTGAGCTTTGTTTTTTTTACTATTTTCATGTTCTCAGATGTCTATTACATCTAATATGTACAGTATGAGGATTGGCTTTAGAACATATTTTATCGAGCCAGCAGGTGTCACCGGCACTGCCTCTGGATGTTGAGAAACATTGAACCAGTCCGGCCCTCGGCTCGTAGCAAACTTTTTTTTTTGGCCCTCTGATGTATTTTACTTTGACATGCCTGCTTTAGCAGAAGTTTGTGTGAAACTCCAGCTCTATTTCAGCGCCATACAAATAAAGTTTGACCTCTTCTTGAGTCTTTCAAATGTGCTGCTAATAATAATAATAATAATAATAACAAAACATGGTCTCTCTCTGGTCTGTCTCTCTGGTCTCTCTCTTGTCTCTCTCGGTCTCTCTCTGGTCTCTCTCTTGTCTCTATCGGTCACTCTCTGGTCCCTTTCTGGTCCCTCTCTGGTCCCTCTCTGGTCCCTCTCTGGTCCCTCTCTGGTCCCTCTCTGGTCCCTCTCTGGTCTCTCTGGTCCCTCTCTGGTCCCTCTCTGGTCTCTCTCTGGTCTCTCTCTGGTCTCTCTCTGGTCTCTCTCTGGTCTCTCTCTGGTCACTCTCTGGTCACTCTCTGGTCCCTCTCTGGTCTCTCTCTGGTCTCTCTCTCTAGTCCCTCTCTGGTTTCTCTCTGGTCTCCCTCTGGTCTCTTTTTGGTCTTTCTCTAAGGTCTCTCTCTCTGGTCTCCCCCTGGTCGCTCTCTGGTCCCTCTCTGGTCCCTCTCTGGTCTCCCTCTGGTCTCTCTCTGGTCTCTCTCTGGTCTCCCTCTGGTCTCCCTCTGGTCTCCCTCTGGTCTCCCTCTGGTCTCTCTCTGGTCTCTCTCTGGTCTCTCTCTGGTCTCCCCCTGGTCTCTCTCTATAGTCCCTCTCTGGTCTCTCTCTGGTCTCTCTCTGGTCTCTCTCTGGTCTCTCTCTGGTCTCCCTCTGGTCTCCCTCTGGTCTCCCTCTGGTCTCCTTCTGGTCTCCTTCTGGTCTCTCTCTGGTCTCTCTCTGGTCTCTCTCTGGTCTCTCTCTGGTCTCTCTCTGGTCTCCCTCTGGTCTCTCTCTGCTCTCTCGCTGGTCTCCCTCTGGTCTCCCTCTGATCTCTCTCTGGTCTCTCTCTGGTCTCTCTCTGGTCTCTTTTTGGTCTTTCTCTAAGGTCTCTCTCTCTGGTCTCCCCCTGGTCGCTCTCTAGTCCCTCTCTAGTCTCCCTCTGGTCTCCCTCTGGTCTCCCTCTGGTCTCCCTCTGGTCTCCCTCTGGTCTCCCTCTGGTCTCTCTCTGGTCTCTCTGGTCCCTCTCTGGTCACTCTCTGGTCACTCTCTGGTCTCTCTCTCTGGTCTCTCTCTGATCTCTCTCTAGTCCCTCTCTAGTCTCTCTCTGGTCTCCCTCTGGTCTCCCTCTGGTCTCCCTCTGGTCTCCCTCTGGTCTCTCTCTGGTCTCTCTCTGGTCTCCCCCTGGTCGCTCTCTAGTCCCTCTCTAGTCTCTCTCTGGTCTCCCTCTGGTCTCCCTCTGGTGAAATTAATAGTGATTCAATATACTAAATTGACAGAAATTAACTATACAATCAAATTTTGCATTAATGACTGCACATATCGACTGTGACAGGGTCACAAATTCAGTGAATTGATGTTTTGGGGTCAAGGCTAGTAGCACATAAGCCAGTCAACGAATGCTAGCCAGCTGAAGACTTGAACACCTTTACTGTCGGTGTACTTGCATGGTCTCCTTCTGGTCTCCTTCTGGTCTCTCTCTGGTCTCTCTCTGGTCTCCCCCTGGTCGCTCTCTAGTCCCTCTCTAGTCTCCCTCTGGTCTCCCTCTGGTCTCCCTCTGGTCTCCCTCTGGTCTCCCTCTGGTCTCTCTCTGGTCTCTCTCTGGTCTCTCTGGTCCCTCTCTGGTCACTCTCTGGTCTCTCTCTGGTCTCTCTCTGATCTCTCTCTAGTCCCTCTCGGGTTTCTCTCTGGTCTCCCTCTGGTCTCTCTTTGGTCTTTCTCTAAGGTCTCTCTCTCTGGTCTCTCTCTGGTCTCTCTCTGGTCTCTCTCTGGTCTCCCCCTGGTCGCTCTCTAGTCCCTCTCTAGTCTCTCTCTGGTCTCCCTCTGGTCTCCCTCTGGTCTCCCTCTGGTCTCTCTCTGGTCTCTCTCTGGTCTCCCCCTGGTCGCTCTCTAGTCCCTCTCTGGTCTCCCTCTGGTCTCCCTCTGGTCTCCCTCTGGTCTCCCTCTGGTCTCCCTCTGGTCTCCCTCTGGTCTCCCTCTGGTCTCTCTCTGGCCCC